CCGATAGGTGCCTTCCTACCAAGTACAAGATAACAACCGAGCATTTTTATTTCGCCGCCCGACCATACGACCAGGGGATCCTAGTATATAGTCCTGTCATCATCAGTTATGTATTTTGAAATATATGAACAAATTTAACTCTACTTACGCCTTTATACTCTTCTATATTTCATTATAATCTAGAGTTGCAAGTGTAATTACGTTGTTATTTAACGGAAAATCATTTTTTGTACATCGAGTTACGTATTTCTAGAGAGCTATTTATTTTAGTTTAGTTAGTGTATTTATAAAAATAGCTTTTATAATGCGGAAAGTAACTGAATATTTAATTTGTATCATGTAATACCTACTTCTTATAGTATATAGTCCATTATGTGCGTGCATGTAAGTCAAAAGTATAAATATAGGGTCAAATTAATTTAGAGAATATGAAAACAAGCAGGGTTATTATTAATTATTTATTATTTTTAAATAAATGTTTATTGCCTCCATAATCAGCTTAATCAAAAAATGTTCAAAATAGTGATATTTTTATTATTTTTATTAACCTTCATTATCTTCAACTTCGGAATCGGACTCTGTGGTAGCAGATTTAGTACTTAAGCTCTTATAAAACGTCTGGTAGTGTGGTGGTATGTTATTATCTTTATATAGATTCATCAAGTTTTTGTATATATTTTAGGTATCGGTAGCGGCGCATCATACTAATGCCTGATTTCAGAAGGCTCGCTGTGTGCAGCTCTTTATTTTCTCATAACTCTTACGCTTCTATTTGTCTACAATGATTGGTGTTTCGTCAGCGAATGCGTATTTTATATGGAATTTCCCCGAACATTGAGGATATGCCGAAATTTCTTTATTTTACTCCAACTCGTGTAGTAAATATATTAAGTCCTAACATATGAAATTCGTAAGGGAGTAACCTAATTACTCCCTTACAAAACGCCAATTTCAGTTGATTTTTCAAAATACAATATATTTATTTAATCAAAATATAGTCCATTGCTATTTATGCACTTTTGCCATTTGATAGGTAGTTTTATTGATCCCTTTACTAAAAAACCATTAGGACGGGAATCGACTTGAATTTTTTCCCTTGCAAGAAATTATCCAAATTTTGAAAGAAAGCAGCAAGATCCGGGAAGTACGGTGGATATATTGGACATTTGAAGCTCTTCTAATTTCGTAACGTTGTCCTGAAGTAGCAGTGGCCTACGGTGATTGACCAGTCTCGGTTGTTTAGCAACAAGCTGTTCCATCATGGTTTGCAATTGCTAACAATACACATTTGCCGTAATCGTCTGACCAGATTTTAAAAAGCTGAAGTGAACAACACAGGCACTAGTCCACTAAACGCTCACAAGTAACTTTTTTTGAGTTTGAATTTTCGCTTGGGGCAGGATTTGGTTGGTTTGCTAGTGTTTCCGATTATCGTACAAGATTCACTTTTCATAACAGGTAATGATTCGATTTAAAATCCCTTCATTATTATGCCGGTTGGCTAATGTAACGCAGCAGTCTACGCACGTTCTCGATTCGTCGATTTGCTCCATTCAATTCATGATCCACCTTTCAAGCTTTTTTCACCTTCCCAATTTGCTTCAAGTGGATTAAAACAGTTTTGTTACTAACACTGCAGCCTGCAGTTAACTCGGACGTGGTTAGCGATGGATCCGCTTCCACATTAGCCTTTAATTCTTCATTATCAACCTTGGACTCTGGCTGCTCACGGGGCTTGTTTTGCAGATCGAAATTACCAGAACGAAAACATTGAAACCGAAAACGCAGTGTGTTTTCTTTTGTGACACCATCACCATACACATTATTAATTCTTCGAGTCGTTTCTGCACACTGGTGCCACGATGGAATTCGTACCCTTAAAAAACGCGATATTTTATGTTTTCCATTTTGTAAACTGAGTGACGTAAAGAAAAAACCAAAGATGGAAAAACATATGGATTACGGTTTTCGAAAAACAAATGCATGAGTAAATAACTGTACAAATTTGTAATTTGAATTCCTGGCGAAAGAGGAGATATTTGAGATCAAAGTGGCCAGTACGACAAAACACCAATTTCATATGTAATAATAAATAATAGTATAGTACCATCTCTCAGAGGTTGGAGTAACATTTTCATAATCTGGGTTTTTCTTAATCCACTATAAGTATAAACGATGCATTTTAGCGCAATTATGCTTTTCATCTAGAATTTATCTTTGTTAGATTGCGGAGATAATGCGATTCTTTATGTGGAAACATATTAATTTGATCAATGACATTTTTGGTTTACTACTTATTTTGATTGGTCTATTAGTATGTTGACCTTGCTGATCAACACAAGTTGAAATTATGATAATTAGTACTTTAATAGTTTTCAGAAATCTTAATCTTAATATAATATTCTAAACGCGAAAGTTTGTAAGTATGGATCTTTGTTGCTCTTTCACGCAAAAACTACTGAATGGATTTTTACGAAACTTTACACTAATATAGCTTATGCATCTGAATAACACAGGATATATTTTTTATTGAAATTTAACGCGGGTGAAACCGCGGGCACAGCTAGTAATTTATAAAAAGTAACGTTTGCGGGATCAGCTAGTATCTATTATGAGCAGTGGAAATTAATATTGAATATTATTGCTAGCAGTATAAGGTACATTCAGTTCTACGCGGTCCATCCTGGAAACCATCGTAGTTAATTCCTATTAGACCTACGATATGATTCACTGCCAATTGTATATTCGTTTATCCATATTTAAAATAGAAGTATACTTTTCTATCTCTTTATCTATTGTTTTTATATACACTTCTATCAATTCGCTCTGCTATGGTAAATGTCTAAAAGCAGATCTATTTTTCTATCATTTATTATTACTATTCCTGGCAAATTCACCTGATCTCCTGCTCCTCCTATCATCCATCATTGGTGCGCCGTCAGCTTATACAATTAGCTAAAAATAGTTTATTTTTTACTTAATTTTAATTACATGAACGTATTCTTAATTTTTTTTCTTGCATGTATTCAAAATTACCCAACTTCAGGTATGAAATGTTACGTGTAATAAAGAAGTAACTACAACTACACTTTACGCATTGTGAAGTTTTGCTGGGCGGAAAGTATGTAACAATAATCACACATAAACTATCAGCTAAAAGTTTCGTAGAAGAAGTAAGTAATTAGAATTACACAATAGTCCTAGATTGTAAGATATAGGAACAAGTATTTAAGTATATTTACGTTATACATTTTCTTGCAAATCTTCTTTTAAAATTTACGTAAATACAATTATGACTTTATGAGCGGGATAATTGTCAAGCGAATAAATGCAAATATGCATACCTCTATTTTATGCTGGAATTTTATGTTTTCTAAAGTCGCAAAATTTTAGTATTTTTGCATTTATTCCTTCATTTTTGTCGATAGCTTCATGAGATTTTGACAGAAGGTGTAAACCGTGAAGCTCGATTTATTTATGTAATAAAAAATTTTTGACGCAAGTGTAGTTGCGGCCTTTTTACACGGGATGTGCGATATGACGTATGTCTGGCCGTCGTGGGCTCTTGGGATATTGGACCTTATCTAAAAATAAATTTAACAGATGTAATGCTCACATAGTGGGACAATCATTGCCGCTCTGGGGTTAACCTGTTAACCAATTTAACAAAATATTAAACTAACATTAAACAAACCAGTGAAATAGTAATTTCTACAATCATATCTATATAAATACGAATCTAAAGTCTGTCTGTCTGTCCCAAATTTGAATTTAAAAATTCATCTGTATTATTGTAAACATGTAAAACATTTATTTGAAAAGAATACGAGCTGAGTTTCTTGTCAGTTCTTCTCATCTCGAAATCATTCCGAACTGACGGTAGATTTGACATATCATAAGAGTCTGTAATAGACCTACATGAATAAAGATATTTTGAATTTGAATACACGTTACAATATATGACAATAATCCTTACTTCCTTACTATATAATATTATAAATGTGAAAGTAACTCTGTCTGTCTGTCTCGCTTTCGCGTCAAAACTACTGAACCGATTTAAATGAAATTTGGTACACAGATAGTCTGGAACCTGAGAAAGGATATAGGCTACTTTTGAATGCGAAAAAAGGTTTGTAAGGGGTTGAAAGTAGGGATGAAAGATTGTATGGAAGAATCGTCATTTTTGAAGCTAAAAGCTTGAAACTTATTTTTAAGGCTGTTAATTAAATATGAATAAATATGACATTCAAAGTTTGTAAAAATTTTACCCTTAAGGGGTAAAATATCATATATGATATAATTTAAATATGCTATTATTTATATAAATTGGGCGACATATAATGATAAGTGTAATGCAGACGAAGTCACGCGGGGCTAGTATTATTATATGATAAAAATTTATTAAAAAAACTTACATATAGATCAGATATATATTAGTATATCTAATACAGAATACATATATCTAAATATATAGATAAGCTAGCTAAAGCTAGTATTATGGGTACTAGATAACTGATACATATACATAGATATTTTTTTGTAAATACATACATATTATACATAGAAAACACCCAGACCGATACAAACAATCATACTCATGAATACAAATGTTTGTGCCGTGCGAGGAATCGAACCAGCGACCATCGGTCGTAAAGCGATGTGCTAAACCGCTAGACCACGGAGGTCGTCGAAAGTTAGTGAATTAAAAATTTTGTCACGTCTCTGCAGAACGCTATCATATCTTCATTTCATTATAAAATATCTATATGCTTATTAAATAAAAATACGATTAGATAAATAAAAAAAAATCGCATTTTACTATCTCATACGCGTACACCACAAAACAACTCTTTGCAACTTCCAGAACGATAAATAGAAAAAAAAACCCGAAATCGGTCCGGCCAAAAGAGGCAATAAAATCAGAGGCACGCAGGCAATATTATCCTTCGCATATATCACTGGGGTCGTTGACCGGGGATTTGCATGGCGCGACAATGAACCTGCGCTCGCGCACGCGGACAGCAGCGCCACCAGCGGAGCAACCAGCGCGGGCAACATGGCGGCGGCAAGCTCCGGCGGCTCTCCACCGAACACTGACAGCCTGCGGAGAAGCTCCACAGATACTCATACACGATGCAGTTACGAGCAACAACTCCGACGTACAAAATAGAGGTGGCATCTTTATAATCCAGGCTGTCTGTAAGAGATCGCTTTGAGCGATAAATGATATTCCTTCTTTCTTTTTTGTAATTACTTGTTCTTTTTTTATGCACAATAAAAAGTTTTTATTCTTTTTTATATATATATATATATATATATGTTATATATCTCTCTTTGATGGGGTAATAAACTTATCATTGCAAGTAAAAATTACCAAACTATTATTATTTTTATTCATTTGAAAGCTAAACTTGTCTATTTTAGCTATTTCTATAGCATTATGTCGTATGGTATTTTGTTATGGGACAAAGCAGCTGATATAAATACAATATTTACTTTACAAAAGAGGGCCATTCGCTCCATTTATGGTATGGGTTCCAGGGAGTCATTGCGAGAGTGTTTTAAGGAATCAAATATCCTCACCGTTGCTTCTCAATACATTTATGAAAATATCATGTATGCCAGAAAGAATATAGACAGTTTCAAAAGAGTTAGTGATTGCACTAATAAAAGCTTACGTAACAATAACAAACTGATTTTACCTAAATGTCGTTTGGCTAAAGTTAGTAATTCGTTTTATGGCAATTGCGTAAGGTTTTACAATAAAATACCAGAGTCTGTTATAAATCTGCCAGAAAAAAAGATTTAAATGTCAAATAAAACAGTTCCTTTGCAAAAAAGCTTACTATAAAATTGAAGAATTCGTTAACGATAATAATGTTTTTATAAAAAAACTTTAAATCTATAGCACTGATAATATTATCTGATTACATTAATAATGAGTGCGTAGCGACTTCTATGTTGATTATCGCATGCCTCTTACTTGTTATACTGTAATTATTTATATAAAAAAAAACATCTATTAAAAAGATCAACACACAAGTTTCTTGCTCATTCTTCTTGTGATGAATCTGCATTCCGAATGAGTGGTAGAATCAAAATATGACTATTCAAAAGTGCTTGTAATGAGTTTATTTGAATAAAGATTATTTCTATTTCTATTTCGATATATATATTTCTTTATGAGAACGATGGAACTGACACCTAATAACTTTTGTTTATTATTGTTAGTATTCAAATGAAATGAAATGAAATTAATTTTATTTACAGAAAATATTTAGATAATTCAATCCATTAAGGTTGACTTGTATGTGTTAAAATTATTAATATATACAACCGAAACTCGGATTAAAATATTAGCTATTTGGCGCCTGAGGTAATAGGTGAATAATAATCTGTACATATACATAAAATTGGAGTGTCTGTTTGTAATATTGAAATAATCGTTTTTTACTACATGCATATGAATATAAATACGGTGTATACACCAAAATAACATTTTGTACAATTTTTATCTGTCTATCTGTCGGTCTGTTTGTTCCTGCTAATCTCTGAAATAGCTGGACGGATTTTGACGGTAATTTTATTGGAAGGTAGCTGATGTAATAAGGAGTAACTTAGGCTACTGATATTTTAGAAAAATAAAGTTCAATTCCACTCGGACCATGTCGCGGGTACAACTAGTATAAAATAAAGCTACAACACGTTATCAGCACGATTGAACACATTATGGCGATAATCCGTGTAAAAAAATGTTTTCTGTGTATATATTTTGTGTTAATAAGGAAAAATATTTTTCTAGCAAAAAATGTCACAGGAAGGAAGCGAAGACAATTTACTAGTAGACAAGTTCCTTCGTAGAAATGCGTAATTACTTACTACACAATGATCTATGGTCACGCTGAAATTCTCCAAGTCGATCGATCCCCCGTCCAATTCAAACGGGGATCGAAATTACAACGGCCGAGGTTTGAACACCAAGCGGTGCCCTCAGGCTAAAGTCATGTCCGACGCGAGTTGGCCTTCTGCCGGTCCATAAGTCCCTCTGCGGATTTGAAGTGCCATCTGCACACGTCCGGTGAAGCTATAAAGGCGAGCTGTATGCCTAATGTGACCATTTATTCTTCGACTCAAAACGGGACACAATTAACAGACAGCCAATGAAAAAAACTCTTTTTTAAAATTATCTATTCAAAAAAAGTTATCAATTAAGAAATATATCCGATAAATATAATTAAACATTTTGTTTATTCATAGATAGTTTATATTTATCTGATAAAAATAAAATGTTTTGTTATCGGAGGAACAAATTTGACTTTTTAAGAAGTATTTAAGTAAGAATGACACTCATGGCACATTTTTTTTATACTCACCTTAATTACCAACAACTAACAACCGGCTCGTCTACCCAAAATTTCGCACCGTTACCGAAAACGGGACAATTTTGCGTCCCAGAGTCCGTTTCGGGGACACCGGGACTCGTAATTATAAAAAGGGACTGTCCCGTTCATTACGGGACGTCTGGTCACATTATGCCTATCTAACAGCATTACAGTCCGAAGAAAAAAGCTGAAATTGTATACGCTAAAACTGATCAGATACCCGTATCAAATTCAAATTCAAAAATCATCAACTGTATCAACCTGTACTGTCGCGGGTTCGATTCCTCGCACGGCACAAACATTTGTATTCACGAGTATGATTGTTTGTATCGGTCTGGGTATTTTCTATGTATATATATATATGTATGTATTTACGAAAAAAAAATATCTTTGTATTTGTATCAGTTATCTAGTACCCATAACACAAGCTTTAGCTAGCTTAACTTGGGACTAGATGGCGCTGTGTGAATTGTCCTGAGATTATTATTATTAGTTCAGTATATAGATCCAATTGAGAAGAACTGGCATGAAACTCAATTGAATTACTTATTTTTTCATTTTAAAAGCCAGTTTACTTACAATGTACATTTATATAGGTGTCTATGTCTAACATTAAATGAAAATCCAGTGCATGAACAACTATTGCCATGCACGCTCGTCATTCAAGTAATCGTTTAGTGAGTAATAGGCAATAATCAGTTATAGAAAGGAATGATTTTTGATTTTTGAATTTGTGTTAGAATCAAACAAACAATTGAGAACTAAGTTATTATTGTGTGTGACTTGTCACCTCTACACGGATATGCCTCGCGTCGCCCAAATCCTGGCACCCGCCGCGCCGTGGGGGGCGACCCTCAATTGGCGATGGTACCATTAAATCTGTAATGTTCTTTGACCATATTTTATATATGAAATGTAACATAAATACCAAAACTTTGATAGTGCTCAATAATTTAAAACGACATGAAGATTATGATAATAATAATAATAATTATTATTTATTCAGAATAAAAAAGAGTACAGAGTAAAAAAGAAAACTTTAAATAATTCGCTATGCTCAAAAGGCCTCCACTCAGCTGGTGCCGCAGCGTGTCACTACAGCGCTGATTTTCAGTGGAGCCACTTGAAACAATCATTCTTGATGAATTTAAATATATAAAATGAAGAGTGAGTTAAATTGATGAATTATAAGTATGTGTGATATATAGAAGAAACATATATGAGGATAAAAAAGTGTTGATAGAAAGACTTTTGTGTAATATAATATAACTTGAACATATTTATTTTAATCAATATATATGTATAGATAAATATATGTATATATTAATAATGTAATATAAATATTATTGTAAGATTTTACTCGCTGGAAACGGCAGGGCATGTTTGTTTTAACTATTATAATTAAGACCATTATGTACACATGTTCCAGTAAATAAATTGAATTGAAAATTGAATTGAAATTAAATTATAACTACTATATTTATCTGCCACGTTTAAGATTTTTGTACTTTTAGTAAATATTTTTTAAAATGATGTTTAAAAGACGAAACTGACTGAATGGTATTTTGAATCGGGGGTGGTAAATTGTGCAATATTTTGATCAACAATATCATATATATTAACAAAACGAAAACAAAATACAAAACTAACAAAATTTACTACAGTAATAATAAATAATAATAATAATCTTGCGAACAAACCTGATAACGTGGTGATGGATCGGGCACTCTCGAGGGTGTTTTTGGTGGACATCACCATACCGCATGACGAGAACCTCGTGAAAGCCGAAACTGAGAAAAAGAGAAAATATCTCTGTCGACCTGGCTCACGAGGTGACCGAAATGGGGGGTGATGTCCACCGAAATCATTCCAATCGTTATGTCGGTGAACGGTCTTATCCCAACCAGTCTGGAACAACATCTCAGACGGTTGGGATTCCGGGGCGGCTCACTCCCGGGAAAGATGCAGAAAGCGGTGCTGTTAGATTCTGCTCGCATTGTACGCCGGTTTCTCTCCCTGGGGCCCTGAACCCCGGCCGACTGTGCTTATCCCGGGGGTATGTTGCCATCTCCTCTCCTTAAGAGGGGAGATGAAAATTTTTGTAAAATAATAATCTCAGGGTAATTCACACAGTGCCATCTAGACCCAAGTTAAGCTAGCTAAAGCTTGTGTTATAGGTACTAGACAACTGATACAAACACAGAGACATTTTTTTTAAATACATACATAATAAATATAGAAAACACCGATACAAACAATTATATTAATGAATACAAATATTTGTGCCTGTGCAAGGAATCGAACCCGCGACCATCGGAAGTAAGACGGTGTGAACCGCTAGACCAGGTCGTAAAAATTAATCAATATATTTTGAATAAACATATATTATAATGTAACACAAACATTATTGAGAAATTCTACCTTTCCTAGAATAATATGTTTGTTTTTAATGTTGATAATTCCTGAAATTATTATTACGAAACCTAATTATGATAACATAATTTAGTAAACACGACCTCGGTGGTCTAGCGGTCCAGCACACCGCTTTACGACCGATGGTCGCGGGTTCGATTCCTCGCACGGCACAAACATTTGTATTCATGAGTATGATTGTTTGTATCTGTCTGGGTGTTTTCTATGTAGTTTATGTATGTATTTATAAATATTTAAATATCTATGTATATATCAGTTATCTAGTACCCATAACA